GGACTTAAGTACAGCAGTTTTGTCCCACCCTATTGTGTGGTTGTGTGTTAATTTAAGCAGTGCTATAGCCAAGTGTTGTTCTAGACTATTGATCTCATTTGGATCTGTCATTCTATACTTAGCCAAATTCCAATGTTCCACTATTCTAACTTACATGCAATTTGATAGATTTGATTATTTTGCTTAATTGCTCTATCACATCCTTAATTCGACAAAGCTTATCTCTGAGTGAGTTTGTAGGTTTAAATGCCAGCCTAATTCCATCTTTGTTTAGGATCCTAAGTGCAGTTTCTGATGTACCCTCCTCATAGGGCAAGACAATGGAGGCTGTGAACTCCTTCCTACTCGAGTTGTAGCTATTATTCCTACTCGTGTTGCTGTTATTATTTCGTATCTTATATGTTCGTAAGAATTTCTTGATAAACCGAGAAGGATAATTATTAACTATTAGCGCTTCTTCTGCGTGTTTCAATTCCTTGGTTAGGTTCATGCAATGACTAGTCAGTTTTCTAGCTCTACCATTTAAACATTTGACCACACCTGCCTTAACTGACATTGGATGAGATGACTTGGAGTTTAGACACCCGTTGGAGTGTGTCGATTTTCTGTAGACGTTAGTATCCAAATCACCGTCTGTCCTTCATCTTATGTTGCCATCCAACATAAGTAATTCTCCCTGTTCATTCTCTACCTAGAAAGTGAATTGGATTGTGCCTCTAACTGAGTTTATATGCATGAGGAAATTGCCGATATGTTCCAATTTCAAAACAGTAAACGTGTCATCCACATTTCGTCATCATATCTTAGGTGCAGGATTGAACGTTTGTAAAGCCATGTTTTCGCAACTATCCATAAATATATGTACTACAATTGAGGATATTGGCGATCCCATTTCTACTCCTTCTGTTTGTCTGTATGTATTGTCCTGAAACTTGAGACTGTTGAGGTCAAGCATAACTGTATGCTTAATATGCTCTCATCAACCGATATCTTAGTTCTGTGAGTAAGTTCTCAGTCAATAATTAGTTGACTTCTGACTGCTTCCAGTGTCATATTGATTGCTATTTTACCATGAAGACTTGTTACATCTAAACTAACCACTTTTTCCATCCTCTTCTATATTTAGGTCATTAAACCCTAGTTTAAATGCGTAAGTTTCATTATTATTATTTTATTCTTTGTCCCTGGGGTGCCTAGTGGAACACAGGGCTTCAGTGGCACGTCTCCAGTGCACTCTCTCCCCTGCAAGCTTTTGAACCTAGCTCCACTACTGCCCACAAGCTCTCATTTATTCCATGTCACCCTCACCTCGAACGCCCAACTCATCGCTTCCCATCTGGGTTCCACTCTACCACCTGGCCTGACGCGTGATGTCCCCAGTCGACCTTCTCCTCAATGCATCACCAATCCATCTCCACTTCCTCCTGCATATTTGTTGACCGATAGGTTCTTGCTTCATTGGTTCGTCACCAGCCAGAGTTCACTGTTGCTTATTCTTTCTGGCAATCCATCTGATCTTCAGTAACGAGCTAGCGTATATGACAGTTGTTGATGAATGTCTGTAGTTTGTTGGAATGCCTTTCGTAATGCGCCAAGTCTCTGAATCATCTACAAGTACTGACTTGACATTGGTGTTGAAAATCTGGATCTTGTTCTTTATGTTGAGTGCAGAAGATCTCCACACTGGTCTCAGGTTGATGAAAACCTGTCTTGCTGTCTTTCCGATCCTGGCTTTGATGTCCTCGCCTGTGCTGCCTTGACTTGGTAGGTAGGTGAAAGAGACTACCTCCTTTAAGTTTCTCCCGCTGGTGGTGATTCGAGCTTGTTGTTGTTGTTGTTGTTGTTGGTGGTGGTGTTTGGGTATCTTCATCACCTATGTCTTGTCCACGTTCACTGGAAGTCCCGTTTTCGCTGCCCCACCTCTTCTGTCAACTTGTTAGTTTTCGCCTGTAGATTTCCGAGTTTGTGCGACATCACACACAAATCGTTATCGGCGAAATCCAAATCTTCTAGGATCTCTTCCCTGGTCCAGTGTATCCCTCTCCTCTCACTCCTCACTGATTGCTGCATGATCCAGTCGACCACAATCAGGAATATCATGGGTGATAGTAGGCAGCCTTGTTTCACTCCTGTCTTCACTTCAAACGCATCACTGACCTATCCACTGTGAATCATCTGGCATGTGGCGTCTTCATATATCTGTTGAATGAGGATGATAAAGGTTTGTCGCACTAAAACCGTAGTGTTGTAACAGTTGCCAAATTACTTCTCGGTCGACGCTGTCGAATGCCTTTTAAAAGTCGATGAAGTTGAGGTGAGGTAGAGGTTTGACTGCCATTCTATACTCTGTTCCATCATGATGCGTATCGTTGTGATTTGGTTAGCACATAATTTGTGCTTCCTGAAGACAGTCTGTTCGGGTGGTAGTTTTGAATGCAGAGCATTCTCAGTCTCTCCAGGATGATGCGGCTTAATATTTCCATTGGTGTAGACAGGAACATGATTCTGCACCAGCTCTTGCAGACACTTAGGTCACCCTTCTCCATGAGTTTGACAAGGTAACCTCTCTTCCAATCAATAGGCACATACCTTCTCTTCCTTCCAGACCTTCTACAGTAGTGGTGTGAGCATGTCCACTGTTGTCTCTGTGTCTGTTCTCAGTGCTCCTGGTGAAATTCCATCTGGTCCTGCTGCCTTCCCGAATTTCAGTAGCCTCATGGCATCCAGCACTTCTACTTTCGTCGTACGATTTGTGTTCACTGGTATTTCTGTGGCTGCAGGTGGTGGTCGATTTTAAGAGCATTCTGAATTGGTCAGCCTATCGTTTCCCTTGTTTCTCTTCTTTAGTAATTGGATTTCCCTCATCATCTTTTACTGGTTTCATCTGTGTTGATCTCTTCCCTCCCAGACAGTAACCTAGTTATTTGATACAATGCTGTCAGGTCTCTCCTACCGACAGCCTGTTCTGCTTCACTTGCCAATGTGTCTGTCCTACAAGTGTCTTTTGTCTTTGCGCTCACTCTTCTTCACTTCTTTGTCCAGTGTAGTGTTTATGCGTTGTACTCAGTTCCTCTTCTCTTTGAGCACCCTTGCACTGCTTCATCTTCTGATTCACCATCCTACTCTCCTCTCCTCTATCAGCTCCCATGTATCCGTCGAGATCCATTCCTTGTCTTGTTCTACTTCTTCTTCCTTCCTAATACGGCTGTGCAGGTTTCGTTCCACATAGCTTTCAAAGAGTACCAGTGTTTTCCACACACGTCCCTTCAGGGTTGTTGCTCAATGTCTCCCATTTTGACTCGATGTCTCACGTGAAGATTTCCTTTGTAGTTTCGTCCTTTAGTTCAGTTTCTGTTCTGGGTGTGGTCGATCATCACCAACTTCCTTGAAGGCTTTCAACTTGATTTGAAAGGCAGGTTCATTGCACTAGATAGTGAGTGATGGATGTGAACCTACATCCACTCCTCTTCTTCATCTTGTGTCAAGTAGGCTGACTCTCCCTCTCCACCTTCTTCACATTGAGATGGAGTCGATCTGATTTTTAGTGTAGTGTGTCCATGTGGTGAAATCAAATCCATGTCGCTTTGTGGATATCCTTGTGCTTGAACACGGTGCTTCCAATCACCAAATCGTTGAATGCACAGAATTCTAAAAACAATTCTCCATTCTCATTCATTTCATCAAGCACTTCTCGACCCATGGTTAGTTCTCTTCCTGTGTTATCCACTTCCAGTTTACCATTCATCTCACCCACCCATTAGAATGAATTTGATGTCGCCAACTGGAGTCTTGTCCAGTGATGATTACAGTTGTCTGTCGAATTCCTCCTTCTTCTCTTCATCTGCATTATTTGTAGGTTTGTAGCGTAGCATTGAATGATTGTGAGTTCCCTTCCTTTAGAGTTGAACCTCGCTGTCATGATGCAGATCCTGCAGGAGGAGATTGGTTCCCACTGCATGAGAGAGAGAGAGTCTTCGATGCTGTTGGTGACCTCATCCTCATGAGGGCCACTGGAAAACTCAGTGTGCTGTGTTCGTGGTTGTCGTCTGGGTGACAAAATCGGAGTAGATTATTGACTCCTCTCCAGTCGACAGTTTGGAGAGTCCACCCCCATTCCACCTGCTTTCGCAGATTCCTAGCACTTCATTATTATACCTTCTCATCTCCTGTGCAATCTGGACAACCTTGCCAGCTAGGTTCAAACATAGTGTGGACATTCCATGTCCGCATTCTTACTTTTATTTTCATGAAGCGAAGACACATCGGCCAATTGGCTTCTTGAAGGTTTTCACCAACTGGTGTCATTTCGTCTCTACGATCCCAGTGAGGAATAATTTTGTTTTTATTTTCGTTTGTGCTTTGAAGTTTCTGTAGTTGTTGGATTGGTTTTCCGGGGTGGGGTTGCTAGCCGTATGCTCCTCATACTGTGTTTACCCGGGCTTAGGACCGGCTAGTAACTGGTGAACTAGTTAACCAGGCGAAGTTTCGTTAGAGTTTACCAGTCTGTAATTTGAACTGTTCCTAATGGGACACAGTATTGATTTCTGCTTAACGTTTGTGTCTTCCAAGTCACTCGTTACAGTTCTAGGCTAGTTACATGCAGTCGATCCTTTCAAGTTCTAATACAACTAAACTTCAACTATTATCCGTGTGTGTGTAAAATATGACCAGCGAATCAGTTGTTAGTGTTTCCAATCATGAGGTTTGATTTAAATCTAGTTACAAGTTTGCATATTACCAAAAAATACTAAGAAGTAGGCAATTTTACAGGAATTTCTAGTTCCTCCGCTGCAACTTGACCAATATTTGAAGACAGAAACGAAGCATACAGTTCAGTTATGTATTTTGCCATAAATTATTTTGCATAATAAATGCGTCATACACCTAATGATTTTGCACAACTTTTGTAGGTCAACAGTTTCATTCCCTCAACTATAACATGCAACTAATGCCTTGGTACTATTCAATTTTACTTACTATCGTATTCAACTGTTTCCTAAGTGCATTGTTATTTTTATATTATTGGTTTAATTATAGTCTAGCATACTAGATGAGCTAGATTAGGTTCACATATAAATGTCAGCATTATAGAGGTTATCTAGTCTAGTTGTCTATTTGACAAAATGATTATCAGTTTTTCGATATTACTATTCTTAACAGATTGTGTGACCTATTTGATATGTACCCCGGTTAATCAATTGAATTTTACGACTACTTCTACTACTGTCCCACCTTTGACAACTACGACGAGTGTTCCACTTATCACAACGTCAAATACAAATACATCTGTTCCACTTCATACAGTTTTACTGAATACAACACCATCTCCACTGATAATAACAAATGAAAGTCATCTGAACGAAACGAATGCTTCTCTGACGAATTCATCTAGCACCAAAGGTCTTCATCCTTCACAACTTTTATCAAAAAAGGACTCATCTCAACCGCATGTTGTTAAAGGAAGAGTAATATTAGCAACAACACGTGAACAAGGCAGCAGTGTGTGGGGTTTAACTGCAGAGAAAGCTGAAGAAGCGTGTAATCGTTTTGCAACTAATCGTGAAATTACTAAACCAATTTCCACATCTACTGAGACCAGCAATATGTCCTCTAAAGGATATCCTCAACCCACTGCCCTATATGAAGGTCATTTACTATCTGTTACATCGAATGAAGAGGTAAGTGTTTATTTTTCCGGCTAAATTCACAAATTATTATAAATTTCAAAATTAATAATCTATGCCAGAGTTTCAAACTACTGAACTAACTGGCAATGTACAGATTCTTCTTACTTCGTTCTTAGTAAAGCTTAATGTGTAAGCACTAATAATATCAAAGTACACTAAGTTGGTCTAAGTCAAACTGTTTCGATGAGTTAGACATGAGGTGTAAAAAACATAATCGTGTAAAAGATTTTGACAAAAACGTACACATGCGCAACACACATTTCGCACAGTCGGTTTCATTGACGTAATCGTTGAAAAAATGCCAGTGATTTTTTTCAATAAGTGAATGTGCTCCTCTGCTTCAACCTCCAATTTTCGAATTAACCTCTGTATTGTGGCTTAGCCATTTTAGTTGTCAGGTTTCATCAACTCAATCACTTATTTGAGATAACTTCACATATTTGATTTCGGATTACTAGTTGATATTACTGACAATATAGTCGACAAGTGTACACCGAGTCAGTTATTTCCAAGGATCCAATTGCAAGTAACTTCACCAAGTCACTATATGTCTAACTTTATTTCAATAACACTTAAGGATGAGATAGATGAAGACACTTATTTTGATAATCTTGTTTTCTCTGGCCTTGATGATTTAAATGTGTAGCTTTCATTGTCATTCTAGACAAAATCATCGATATGAACTTCCGAAAAATGTTTAGAACTAAACAAAAATATTCATTAAGCAGAATAAGCTCTTGATACGTAATTATTACTAAAAATAAAACTAAATAAAAGTTATTTCGAAAAAAGTGTAATGAAGCCTTCATGGGTGTAATGTAACCTTACTGTACCCCACCAAATTATTAATAGTTCCTGCTTTATTCAATCTCAACCAGGTATGGATAAATAGTTGAAATGTTTGAAATCAAATACATAGTCTTCTTATATCATTTTCATTACCATTAACCTTATCAGTATTTTATTATTTCCTTTAAAAACTTGACTAGCATTTAAGTTTGCTTTCTATATTTAAGCTGACTGATATGTGCCTTTCTTATTTTCTACCTGATATCACTATTAAATAGTGAAAATTATATCTATCAAGTATTTACCTGACGGCGATAACTACCTTGGAAATCGTTAGTTGACATGAAATGCTTAATAACGGAAGTATTTGATTAGTCTGAAAGTAACAAGCGATTATTACAAATCTCTTTTTAGTTCAACATTGTAAGTGTACACATCTGTGCACACTTGATTTTTCTTAAGGTTGAAATTGGGATCTTAAGAATTGATTATCATAATTATTGTATACACATTTAGTAAATATCACTGCCTGTCACCTGGGGATAGATAGGTCCTATAATTATATTTCCCTAAGATGAACAGTTCTTATCTAAGTTACTAGTCAGGGGAAATAGAAGTAGATTTTGATGATTCAAGTTTGTGTAGAGTTGAATGCGTTTGGACTAGAAGATACTAATCAAAATCAACAACTCATTCATAGTTTCAGGCATAAAGATATTATAATTCACTGCCGAATTATGAATTACTCATCATGATGCATACGTATATTTTTGGTGATTACTATACACTACTAATGGCGAAGTCAGTCATCAATATTCACGTATGAGTTTTAAATATCACCAGTCAGCACCACAATTCCCTCTGAATGAAAATTATTTCCGTTAAAAAGGCATCTGTATCATAGAATTACCTTTTTGGTCATCCAAAAATAAATGAAATGAGTTGCAAACTTCTGTCTTCTCAATTTAGGATAATATGGATATGTAGGTAGGCTACACCTAATCGAATCTAATTCACCATCTTTAAGTATAAAGTCGTATTCCTAAGCAAAAACTGTCAAAGAAAGTTTATTATATTATTACTATTTTTCTCTTGAGTTCCTAGTGGAACATAGGGCTTCAGGAGCACGCTTCCATTTCACTCTCTTCTCTGCAGTTTTTCCAACACGGCTCCACTACTGCCCACAAGCTTTCATTTATTCCTCACATCATCTCCTCCATGTCACCCTCACCTCGGACGCCCAACTCGTCGCTTCCCATCTGGGTTCCACTCGAGTGCCTGACCTAGCGCCTGACGTCCCCAGTCGGCCTTCTCCTCAATCCATCCCCAATCCATCTCCACTTTCTTCTGCATATTCGATGGGTGATAGGTTCTTGCTTCGTTGGTTCGTCACCAGCCAGAGTTCCTCCTTGCTTATTCTTATCATTCTGGTCATCTTACATTCAGTATCGAGTGAGCGTATGTGGCAGCTGTTGAAGAATGTTTGTAGTTTGTTGGAAGTGCTTTTCGTGACATGCAAAGTCTCTGAACCACCACACAGAAGCACTGACTTACTTGACTGAATTAGTGTTGAAAATCCGGATCATGTTCACGCTTTATGTTGAGTGCAAAAGATCTCCACACTGGTTTCACATTGATGAAAGCCTGTCTTGCTGTCTTTCGGATCTTGGCTGCTTTGACGTGCTTGTCTGTGCCTGTGCTGCCTGTAGTTGAAACGATGTTGCCTAGCTAGGTAGGTAGGTAGGTAGGTGAAAGAGACAATTTTGCTTAGGTTTCTCCCGTTCATGGTGATAGGGGATTGTTATTTATGCTGTTGTTGGTTGGGTATCTTCATGACTTCGGTCTTGTCCACGTTCACTTGAAGCCAGTCCTATCTTCGCTGCCCCACCTCTTCTGTCAACTCGTTAGTTTTCGAAAAGAAAGTTAACTGTTCAATATTTGATTTATTTTTGTGAAATTTGCATGCATAGAACCGTACAGTATCAAACTGACAATGAATACTTGCTAAAATTACCATTTCACAGACGACTGAACTTTATAGCATAGTAACAAGTCTTTATGTCGTGAAAAATGAAGATATTTACGTTTAATCCTAATATAGGAAAGGTTAACTGGTTGCTGCTTTCATGCTTTAAAATTAAATCAAAAGACCAAGTAGAATTAGGTATTTCGTGATTCTTAAAAACTATTCTTAAAACTCTTTTCATAGCGAATATGCGATAAGCATAGACTCAAAATCTAGACGCCCAATAGAATAGTGTCAGATGAAAACTATTTATCATTTGTTTGTTCTGTCAGTGAGTTGTGACAATTTCAAATATTAGCATTAATATAGGAAAAATATTGAAAGGTGAATACAAGTGCGAAAAAGAGTAGTGTAAGATATTACTGACAAAATCTATCCTTTATTATGTCATAAAAATATTTCTTTTCACATTATTTTGATGCATCCCAAAGTAGTGTTGTAAACATGATGCTGTGTGAGATATGGATTGTTATAAACATTTTTCACGTAAACAAAGTTACACGCCACTATTAAATTAGGTCAGATTTTTACTCAAATATGAAAAAGGTAGAAATGTTTGTTCTTAACATTATAAGTTAACGTTTCATGTTTTTGTATTTGTTCAATTTCATAACTATGATTCCGTTTGTCTGTTAACAATAACACACAAGTGTAATTTATTCTAAAAAAAAAATCACATTCAGATTAGATGAGTTGGACCATAAAAGATTGTATTTTAATCATTGCTTGTTAAGATCTTTTTGGACTGATGATCTAAATGCTTTCATATATGTATAAATATTTGCGCATCTTCATTAAATAATAGAAATCTAATTGTAGACTGTTATAGATGGCAGCACAATTATTTTACAACATTTTTCATTCTATCTCTCTCTCCTACTGTTTCCCTATCCGACTGCTGATAACCACGGGTTCAATTTTAAACTGTTTTACATATATTTCTGAAACAGATATATTATTATTATTAGTCCCTTGGGTTCCTAGTGGAACATAGGGCTTCAGTAGCACGTCTCCAGTGACCTCTGTTCTCTGAGATCTTTTGAACCTGGCTCCACGACAGCCCACAAGCTCTCATTTCTTCCTCACACGATCTCCTCCATGTCACCCTCAACTGGGACGTCCAACTCGTCGCTTCCCATGGCGATTCCACTCGAGTAACTGGCCTGACGCGTGATGTCTCCAGTCGGCCTTCTCAGTGCATGGCCAATCCATCTCCACTTCCTCCTGCATATTTGTTGGTTGATAGGTTCTTGGTCGGTTCGTTCCCAGAGCTCCTTGTTGTGTATTCTTTCTGACCATCTGATCTTCAGCAGCGAGCGTAAGCAGTTGTTGATGTATGTCTGTCTTTGTTCATCGAATTCACACCCAACACATGTAATAGGAATGACGCAACACCTATACCAGAGATATGGAAAACTTTACTACCAATCAAAAAACAAAAAAACAAAGAGAGATCAGGTGACAGGACTATAAAATCAGATGTCGAAAGAAGTGTGATTACATTGATATGATTATGAGCAATAATTTATGCTCGAAACGTAATCAAGTAAATAATACTGTATCACTGTGCGCTTTATATCAAATAAACAAATCTAATATGGATCTTCAAGTTTGTGTGACAAGACATCATGCACAAGTCATCGGCGAAATCCAAGTCTTCTAGGTTCCTTTTCCGCAGTCCAGCCAGCGTATCCCCCTCTTCTCACTCCTCACTGTTTGCTGCATGATCCAGTCGACCACAATCAGGAATATCATGGGGGATAGTAGGCAACCTTGTTTCACACCCGTCTTCACTTCAAAAGCAAACAGATATAAGTAATTATTATATTATGTCGAAACAAATTGTAGAACACATGAATATCTCATACAATAGACTTTGAACACATACTTCATAATTATTATCAGAAAGAAGCAACTATTGTTGTTGGACAGAAAAGCGTTAGTTACTACTTTGAAACTGATTGCAAATGAGGTTTTCTGTTTTAAAATCAGTTATCAACTTTGTGTATGACACGTAACTGGTCTGTTTGACTCCGAATAAATGAAATATTACCTGACATTGGTACTGTCTAACTCTGCTAAGCGCAAACGTATAACATGAGTAGCAGAAAGTCATTTAAAATGTTTATTAATACTTTTCTCATAGATAATAATTGGTGGTGCCAGACATTCTACT